CAACAACAACAACAACAACAACAACAACAACAACAATCTGTCCATAGAAACTACATGGCTATGGATGAAGCATGTAACAGTGATACCCAATGTCATTGGGGCCCTTGATACCATGTCCCAAAAATTTATAAAACACATCAAGAAATTGCAGCTTCTTGCAATAACACCAGTGGAACTGCAAAAAACTGTGCTACTCGGAACTATATATTCTAAGAAGATACTTGGCTGATACCTAGAACGCTGGCAGCAATCCTTATCAACCATTAGCACCAGTCAATGGTATTTATGATACATTTTTAAATGTTCAGTTGACTGAGTTTCATGTTTAATGAATAAAAGAAATAATAATAATTGTCACTGCACTGTTTCCTCTGTCAACAATACTGAATAACTCAGGCCATAGCTATCAAACATCAAAAACAGCTGGCAGACTATTCGACTTCCTTTACATGGATGATCTAAAGCTGTATGGAAAAACACCATCTGAAATAGAATCGCTGCTCAACACTGTTCACATAAATAGCCAAGATATTGCAATGGACTCTGGATTGGACAAATGTGCCACACTCACTATCAAACAAGGAAAAATAGTGAAAACTGAAGGAATCAAGATGTCTCATAAAAATAACATTAAGAGTCTGGATGAAGATGATTACTACAAATACCTGGCTATTTTTCAAGCTGAGAACTTAAAGCACACTGAAGGCAAGAAAAAGATTAGAAGTAAATACATCAAGAGAGTGAAAAAGATCTTTAAGTCCGAACTCAATGGAGGAAATACCATCAAGGCAATCATTACATACACAGCTGGAATAGTGAACTGGACTCAAACAGAATTAAAAGCAATGGATAGGAAGACCAGAAAAATAATGACAATTAATCATATCCTTACAACGACATTGACAGACTCTAGGGAAAAAGGTGGGTGTGGAATGTTACAAGTACATCAGATAGTTGAAGAAGAAAAAAGGGCTTTGGAAGAATATCTGAAGGTCAATGAAGATGATGCACTGAAGTTAGAATGTCAGGAAGGCTTGCTGACTACTGGAGAGACCAAACTGGCCTACAAGAGAGACCAAATGAAGGACAGAATGGAGGCATGGGAAAACAAAACACTTTATGACCAGTACATTAAAAAATAGTAGGGAAAGTAGATAATAACAAGACCTGGCAATGGCTAAGAGCAGGAAAGTTAAAGAAAGAGATGGAGGGATTAATTCTGACTGCACAAGACCAAGCCTTAAGGACAAATGTATACAAAGCCAGAATTGAGAAGACAGCAACAGACAGTAAGTGCCACCTATGCAAAGAAGCTGAAGAAACAGTGAACCACCTGATAAACTGCTGCAAGAAGACTGCCCAAACTGACTATAAGCAGCGGCATGACAAAGTAGTAACAATGGTGCATTGGAAGATCTGCAAAAAATATCATTTGCCTGTAAGCAAGAACTGGTGGGACCATAAAATAGAAAAAGTCATAGGAATGAAGAAGTTAAAATGTTCTGGGACTTCAGAATCCAGACAGATAGGCATCTACCATGTAACACTTGGGATGTAACAGCTACCAATAAGAAAGACAAAAAAGTCTGGATAGTGGATGTGGCAGTGCCTGGAGGCAGCAGAATAGAAGAGAAATAGCAAAATACAAAGACCTACAAATAAAAATAGAATGACTATGGCAAAGGCAAGCAAGGGTAGTGCAATTCCAAAACAACTGAAGCACAATTTGAACACCATTGGCATTGACAAATTTGCCATCAGTCAATTGCAGAAAGTGGCTTTACTTGGAACAGCGTCCATCCTGCGACAATATCTGTAACACCATCAAACATCCAAATCTGCCTATCTCAGGTCTTTAGTAAGGACTTGATAGGTACACAAAAATGCCAAACTCAGTCTGAACATCTGGCTGACTGTGTGATGAATAATAATAGTAATAGTAGTAAGAGTAGTAATAGTAATACCGTGTTTCCCTGAAAATAAGACAGGGTCTTATTTTCTTTTGATCCACAAAATAAGCACTTAGCCTTATTATTTTTGAGGTGCAGGAGATGGCGAGCGTAGTCACCTCATGGCTACTGCTGTATTGCAATATTTTCAAGAAGGACTTATGTTTAGGGGAGGGCTTATTTTAGCGCATGCACTCAGAAGCCCTATTGGGCTTATTATCCAGGGAGTTCTTATTTTTAGGGAAACAGGGTAGTAATAGTGCAGTCATCTAACAGGCTCCATTCTATCTCCCATTCTATCATGGGATCTCAAGGCTTATTGGCAAAACCATGTTTTCAGGATCTTCCAAAAACCATCAGGGTTGGGGCCAGACTCACCTTGGCAGGAATGATGTTCCATTGGACAGGGGCCACACCAGAAAAAGCTTTCCTCATAGGTCCTGCGCTACAAAACTCTAGGTGACAAGCTCCCCCCCCCCCCCCCAAAAAAAATCCCATGCTTCATCTACTGGATTTGATGGAATGGGTTGATGTAACTGGGGATCAGAGGTCCTTCAAATAGCCTGTTCCCAACTTATTGAGGATTTCAAAAGTTCCAACCAGCATCTTGAATTGGATCCAGAAGCAAGCTGGTAGTCAAACTTGTAACAGTCCATAAAGCAGGTGCAATGTGTGCAATTCTTGGATCACACAAAACTGTCCATGCTCTTGCATTTTGTACTAGTTGAAGCTTCTGAATGCCTTTAAGGGAATCCCCATGTAAAGATGTTATGGTAGTTGATCAGGGTGTAACTACAGTATGAGTGACAGAGAGTGGAATGCTCAGATTTGAAAACAAAAGGTAACATTTCTCAACTTACCGTCTGGAGCTAGCCATGCAGCATAAAAGTTACAATCCATCTGGAGGTGTCATTTTGGAAAAGATAAGATTGAAGATCTCTCTCTATATGGATCTTTAGTTTGGTCCTTAGCCTATTTCTGCCTGACAGGACATTCTGGGTTCCCTGTTTTGTTTGAGGTATTTTCTCTTGTACTTCAAACCTTATTAGCACACACCAAATACAATGGAACAATGTAGTATCTGTTTCTTTGCCCTTGTCTATTTGTCAATAAAACATTCAGATTTAGATTAGAGATAAAAGAAGACAGGCAGCTCTCCAGTCCATCCCAGGATACATACAATGTAGCAAAATAAATCCTACCTTTGCTCTTTTATTTTGTAATCCTTTGGGTACCAAATAGTAGGGCAGATGGGAAGTAAAGAGACGAGGTGATGGGCGATTGGGATAATCTATGTCAGCAATATTACACTCCAGCCATGGAGCTCTGTCAATCAGGGTAATATTTTCAGTTCCATCTCGATGACATTCATGAAGAATCAAGCTCACAATATTTTGAGTCCATATCGTGCCTGGAAATAAACAACTAAATTAATGCATGCAGAGTGATTATTATTTGGACGATGCTGAAATTATGCAAAGCATACTTTCCTATCAGAAAGGATAGCAAACATTTCAGAGAAACGCAAAAACAGTAGCGTCTTCTAAAATATTTCATGGGCGTATGAGAGAAAGTTAGTTCTGCAAAGTAAAATAAAATAAAAATGGTCAAAATGCAGATTTAGCAGCTTTATTTTCTACATTTCCTACAACTTCTAAAAAAATGCCAAATGTTAAAATTTGGTTAGTGCATAGCAAAGTTGCAGCAATCATAATATTATAACTTGATACAAGATTAACTCTTCCTTGGAAGACATCTTTAAACTTACCAGATTTAGGATAAGTGATTATAAATATATCATCATCTTTGATTTCAAAGCTTTCCAGTGAATCTATACTTTCAGGTGATACCCCTTTTACAAAATAGTATCCTTTGTGTTTATACAGGAACTTATTTTCTGGTTCCATTATTTAACCTGTTGATATAATAATAGAGCAATTGACAATTGTTCCCACGTTTATGGTCAATCATGTTGTTTTTTAAAAAAATCATGTTTCCTGAAAACAAAGAAAAACAAAATATATTATTAAGATCAGTTTTTGTAGAAGAAGCAGAGCCTGGGGGCAGAGTCAAGAGGGGAATAAGTCTGGAGTCCTTACGTTCCCTCAAGCAGTCTATGAAGAATTATGGACTTACTAAGTATGAAATGAAAAACTTATTGTTCATAGCTGGGCTACAGTTTTAGATTAATCATATATAGTTTCCATTCTATGTACAAATGGGCACTCTGTAAATATAATTTAAAAAATTGAGCACTATTATTCTGTGTGGTCAAACTTTACCATTGCATTTAAAATTGGGTTTGAATGAATTTTTAACCTACCGTATGTCATGCCAGCTAGACTGACACTTATTACATAATAAGCATTTGTGGTCATCCCTCTTTGCTAACAGATAGCAAAGGCACAAATAGAGTAATTGGTTCCACCACAAAACCACGAAGTCCTTATCCATGCCGACATAAGTGCGGAGGCAAATCCGCGGCGTCCAAAGCGCTAAGAAAAAAACGACCCTACCGCCGCGACAACAGCGTGGTGACAGAAGGGCGTTTTACATGCTTCGTTCTTTGCCTCTGTACCTCCAAAGGTAGCCCTCCTCCTCCAGCTGACAGCGGCAGCGGGCACGGGGCAAAGCCCTCCTGCAAAAGCCCCAGGGGCATTGCTCACCTGGGAGCCAGAATCAGGCTGGGTCAGAGCTGGGTCGCAGCCGCCCCAGCCGAAGCAGCCCCATGCTTCCCACGGCTCATAGCGCCGAGCGCCTCCCGGCCGGCTTCTTCCCCACCTCTCACCCGGCCTCTGCAAGGACTTGGCCTCTGGGCGGCTCCTCGCTTCT